TGGCTCTGATTTGTAGTCAAACCAAGTAATTTGGTCAATAAAATCAACCAATCTTCATAGTGAAATTCAAATCAAGGTGAACTAGATGTGTTAGGCACCCTCTTTAGTCAGGTTAGTTTAGATAGGGGTAGTTTCGGAATCTAACAATTAGAGAGCATCTTATTAGTTCAGGAGAAATAGGGGCATTTTAGGCATTTTATGTTATTTAGTTTGTTCATTCAAATTGTATAACCAATCTTCATAGTGAAATTCAAATCAAGGTGCACCACATGATACATACATCTTCATCAAAGTCACTATCAAAAACTTATGCAACCTCTTTTTTCTTCTACATAGTTTGTATCATCTTATTCCTGAAAAGAAAACATCCAAATCATGTAAACAAATTGTATAACCTAAAAGACACTTACGAGTTTCTTGTAGTTAGTTAATTACATCTTTCAAAGGATCTTGGTTCTAGAGCTCATCATCCTCTTCAATTTCCTCATCAAACAACTCGGTCATCCTAAAAAAAGTAATTAACATCCACAAGCATCCCTATAAAAACAGCAACAATGATATGTAATAATATACATGCACGAAATACTTTTCGTTGCATTCTATATTTTCGTTATCACCTTTGGATTCAATTTCTAAATTCCTTTAGAGAATATAAACGATTCAAGCAATAGGCAACTTTAAAGATTATGTAACAATCTAAGATATGATTTAATGTTGATTAACAGTTGATGTCATTAGTGGCAGAAACTACTGAAAAAAATTAGTGAAATCAATAAAATAAAAAAAATAAAAAAAACCCTAATTTAATATAGAAAATCCTCCAAGAGACCAAGACTTGCCATGACTAATAACTAATAGGTAATTGACACTAGGATACAATTCAAGCAAGAATGTTTCAGAATAGTTAAAAAAAAGCTTTCTTCATCTAAAGTTATCGATCCATCAAATTTAGCCTAAAGGACATCAATAATCTAATAGAAACATCAACATACAAGTTGAGGAGAGAAAATAAATTGTATACCTAAGATATACATTCAGAATAGAGAATTTAGGGCTAAAAAATATCATGATATTGCTGAGATAGAGATTGAGGCCATATAATCAAATTTGTATTAATTTAAGTGCCGATCAGTCATTAAATGGTCACAATAGGGTGTCGTCGTCGACAAGAGTGTTGGTGATTTGTTATCATTAATGTTATTTAAGTGTAATAAGGATTACTTTGTTGACTAAAAATGATCTTGATAAATACTAAATAAGTAAGGAAGGTGTGGAGTACACACTTGTTTAAGTTTGATCAAGTATTAAAGTGTACTGTCATTTAGGGCGAAGCCCCTGAACGAACGGGGGTCCGGGGGCAGCGCCCTGGGAGCAGTGTCCAAGGGGCGGCAGCTCCTGGCGGGGTCCAAGGGGCAGAGCCCCTGGCTGGGATTATATTTTGTATTAAAAATGTATCATAAAATCCAAATTTTGAATATTTGACCCGGTTTTGACTTTAAATTAATCCTTATACAAAACCCGGATTTATGACAGTTTTTACCATTAAGAAAAACTGTTATATGATAGTTTTGACAGTTTTCAGATAAGGAAGGTTTTTAACCAATTTTAATTAGGGATGGCAAAAAAACCCGAACCCGACGGGGAAACCCGAAACCCGATCATTTCGGGTCGGGTAACGGGTCGTTATCGGGTTTTTTATCGAGTTCGGGGCAGGGAGTGGGTTATCCTCGCCCCGACCCGCCCCGCCCCGATTATATATATATATATATATATATATATATATATATATATATATATATATATATAATATGTTTACAAAAATTTTGCTGTTAATTGTACACGTTCAAATATAAAATACTTATCGTGGACAATTTTTTTAGTTATTAACAATCTGGTGTTAATGATCATTTTTATGTGTTTTGACGTATTAAACAAAACTTATATCAAATAATTTTTTATATAACGTCCAGTTTATTTTATTAAAGTGATGCATCATGTTTTTAATTTAAAAGAGTTGCTAGAACATGTATATTTTATAAGACATTGGGGTACCCTAAAAGAGAATAAAGATTTCGTTATCAGTTGTTGTAAACCCGATAAGATACCCGAAACCCAATGGGGCGCCCCGATAAGATACCCGAAAGTTATCGGGGCGGGTTTGGGAATCCATGCCCCGCCCCGAACCCGCCCCATTGCCATTCCTAATTTTAATCATTTTTCTGGTACTCACGAAATTACACCATCTTATTCTCTCTTTCTTTTCTCTCTGATTGTATCTGAGTCTTATCCAATTGAGGATTTGGGAGTACCATCCAAATACTTCGATTTGAAAGTGATTATCACGATTCTCAGATTTTCAAATACCACTAAACCATTTTTCTAACAAAGAGCGTGTTGGAAAGGGCTTTGATCGCGGGGAAGAGCACTTGAAATCAACGCCAATCACAAACCACGAATGAAATAATCTACAACCTTATGAACCCTAAGGAGGTTTGATTACCTGAAATTGACGACAATTCAGTCGAAAAAAGAGATGGCGAAGTCGGGACAGGTCAATTCGTCATCGTGAAGAGAGGAGAGGTGAGCGTTGATGATTCCCGTCGCGGGGAAGAGTACACGAACGTGCATTCGTCATTATAAAGTTACCTGAGAAATATATAAAGCGATTTAGATTTTTATCGCTAAATAGTGGTATATTAATGAGTTGGACTGAGTTTTTTAGCGCACGTGTTGGTCCACTCAAGGGGTGTAAATATATATATATATATATATATATATATATATTAAGATTTATTTGCCGAGAGAAATCAATAGTGACCTAAAAGACTAGTTAATTGACTTAATTCACTATAAAATATTTAGTGGCACATAACGGACATATAATAATTTATGTGTGACAAAATATATAATTTTTAGTGGGACTTTAAATCGTTATTTCATTAACAAATATGAATATTAATGTCATTAAATGTTACGTATCATTAAATCTATTGATTTTTATAGTGGCATATATAATATGTCACTAAATACATATTACATTGGCACAAATAAGATATGTTATTAAAAATGTATACCATTAAATGTCGTTTATAGCCGGCATCAAATCTCATGGGTGGTAAAGAGGATACATCAAAAAATCAAAACATATAATCTCATTGGTCGTTATAACACTTTACTTGTTTCTTGCCAATAATATATTTTTTTTCATATTGAACCAAAGAAATATGAAAACATAATATATACAGTTGTTACAGAGCATTGGTAGTGTCAAATTGTGCCAGAAAATATATTTGTTTGTTAAATTACCATATGCTTGTGTGGCTATTGATAAACTATATGGAGATTAAACATTTTGCCTTTTTCAAAAAAAAAAAATCCACAATCATAATAAATTGCAAAGAAGTATAACAAAAATTCAATCTATTATCTAGACTATAGTTGACGAACAGAAGGAACAAATGAAGAATTAAGGATGTGGTAGACGACAAGAAGAGTGTATATGTTGATAACAAGGAGAACGTTGTGGAAGGAGATTAAAGTGTGGCGACGGAAACCGATAGGAAAATTAGAAACTATTGAATGAGCGAACCGATAGGTTGCAAGTTTTTTCTTTTTAAGAAAATTAAAAATTAAAATGCAATAATTAGGTAAATAATTTTGAAATCAACACTATTTGGAATATAATTTTTAAAAGCACTATATTTAGAATGAAAACTATCATGATCTTTATTGCTAGAAATGGAACTTCTCAGAATTCAAGTTAAAAGCAAAAATGTAATTTTTTTTTCTTGAAATGCGGAATTTTCATAATTAAAGGTGGATTACGATATATATATATATATATATATATATATATATATATATATATATATATATATATATATTATATATATATATATATATATATATATATATATATATATATATATAGGGTTAGGTTCATTTGAGACCATCTATATTTTGTGAGACCGTGAGACGTATTTTTTTATTTTTTTTTATTTCTTTTTTATTTTTTTATATTTTTTTTAGTTAATTCATATTCCGAAAATAATACTTAAAAAAAGAATTTTTTGATTTTTCCATTTATTTTGCATTTTAAAATTATTTTTAGAATATATACAGTGTAATATTCTATTTAGAATATTTCACGTATTTTTCAAAAAAAATAGAATTTTTTTTTTATTTTTTTAATTAATTCAAGTTCCGAAAATAATATTTAAAAAAAGAATTTTTAGATTTTTCCATTTATTTTGCATTTTAAAATTATTTTTCAGAATATGTCAGTGTAATATTCTATTTAGAATATTTCACGTATTTTTTCAAAAAAAAAAACGGATTTTTTTATTTTTTTATTTTTTTAATATTTTTTTTAGTTAATTCAAGTTCCGAAAATAATATTTAAAAGAAGAATTTTTGGATTTTTCCATTTATTTTGCGTTTTAAAATTATTTTTAGATTTGGTCTCACAAAATTAGAATGCTCTCAAATGAACCTATATATATATATATATATATATATATATATATATATATATATATATATATATATATATATATATATATATATATATATATATATATATATATATATATGAGTGGATCAAATAAGAATACCAAAAAGGTTGAGAACGCGAGAACAGATCTGAGCTCTTCAAATATTACGATCTAAGGCTAAAATAATTTATAAAAGTTATGAGATGAAATTGTAAATTTTTAAAAGTCATGGTATGAGATTGTAAATTTTTAATAGTCTAAAGGGTAATATGGTCATTACATGTTAACCTATTTTTGTAAGTTGCTGGAATATCTCTATGTCACCCCTCTCTCTCTCACTCACGTATCCTTCTTCCTCTCCCTATCTAAATTCAAATTTCAAACCTTTTAAACCCTAATGAGCCGTCACCACCATACACCATATCGGAACTGAAAAAGTTAGGTCCAGAGGAGATCTAGGGGTACGATGGCCTAGAGAAAGTTGGAGATGAAGCGAATTTCTCCAAGTTAAGTTGGGATCTTCGCTGTAAAGTTGTTTTGCGAGGCATCAAAAGTTTGAATGGCCCGCAAAGATCTCAACGACGATGGAAGAGTTCCCTGAAACAAGTTATTGCTTATGTCGAGATTCACAAGGCTGCTACAGCTGCTAATGGTGGTAGGAAGATCTCCTAACAATCGATTATTTTCCAGAATAATTTTGTTTAAGTTCTTAAGGTTGCCAACCTCTTGTGGAAGTTCTCCCGATAATTGATTACCACCCAAATTCAAGCTAATGGATAGCGTTGAGAGTTCAAATAATTTCCTGGGTATTTCTCCAGTAATGTTATTTCGATCTATGCCTAACTTTATCAACCTCTTGCAGTTGCCCAAACTTGATGGCATGCTTCCATTGAATTCATTTAAGCCCATGTCAAGTTCAATCAATAATGAAAGATTTCCTAAAGAACTAGAAATGTTCCCTGAGAAAGAGTTATTCTTAAGATCTAGTTTCTATAAACTTCAATGATTGCTAAATTTCACCTAATTAATTGTGCCTTTGAGCTTGTTATTAGACAAGTCTAGAGAACTTAGGCCAGAAAGATTACCAATCGATGAAGGAAGGCCACCAGAAAAAGCATTTAAAGCAAGGCTTAGAAAACTTAGTGTATTCGACAAGTTCCGTAGAGAATATGGCAAAAAAACTTCCACCGAGTCCACATTTACCAAGGGAAAGAATTTTAAGGGATGTAAGATTCCCGATGAACCTTGGAATCCCACCTGAGAAATCGTTGATCGGAAGGATGTGTGAATAGTTGTATTCATTTATAAATAGCACGTGCATTCATTTATGATAGAATGTGTATTAATTTATAAATAACGGTGTATTCATTTATGAATTGCAATGTATTCATGTGTGAATAATTGTATTTATTTATTAATATTAGTGTATTCATGTGAATGAGTGTATTTATTTATGATTAGAGGTATTCATTTTATGAAAAATTGATAATTTTTACACTTTTTTATTTTCAATTTATGATAAATAAATTGAATTATTTGTAATTTTATATGTTTTCATTTATGATTGGAAGTGTATTGATTTGAGATTTGGATTTCTATTTCATTTAAAAAAAAAAAAAAAAAAAAAAAAAAAAAAAAAAAAACAACAACGTGAAATAGTAGAAATAATATATTTTTTTAAGATTTTCTTTTCAGATTTAAAATAAATGAAATATTAATTTTTTTAGGTAATTTTTTGAAACCGTCATAAATAATATTTTGGGAAAAATCATAAAAAAAATATTTTATATATATTTTATTAACTAAAAGGAATATTAATTTTGTTAGGTAATTAAAATCATTATCCCTAGATTTTAGGAAATCATTAATTAATATTTATATAAAGTTACTAATATA